AAAAAAAAATTACCAGCTATACATTTTTGAAGAAAAAATATTACCAGTAATAAAAATTTTGTCGGCATTAAATAACCCATTGAGGTTGATATATCGCAAAGCAAACCAAACCAAACCAGAAATACAATTTTGGAAAAAAATAAATATTACCAGCAATAAAAATTTTGTCGGCATTAAATAACCCATTGAGGTTGATATGTCGTAAACCAAACCAAACCAAACCAATTTGTACTGTCTCTGCTCCGCTTGAATTCCGCAACCCACTTCATAAGAAGGTGGAGTTCTCAGCAAGTGTCTGTACCATGTCTAAATGTTTGGGTGTCATACCTTTTTTTTGGAGATACCTTATCACTGCTCGGTTCTCTGTTTTGTCCATTTTTTGATTTGTCACACACCTCTCACTATTGAATAGGTCTCAGCTGCATAGAAATTAAGACAGAAATCTGAACTTTATGGTTACCCGGATCGACAGACACCTAAAAATGGCTGGTGGGAGTGCAAGAGGATTGAAACGTTATAATAATAACAACAAAGATAAAGATATTAGTCCGAATGAAAAGAATGATAAATTATTGGAACTAGTTCTATTATTTGAGATGTATCGACATGAGTTCGGGTGGTAAGGATAGGGAGACTGTCCTAGGATCGTTTAATAACAAAATTAGTATAGGAAATAAGGAAATTTTGAACATACTAGAATTTTTTTGCAACACGCTGAAGCGTGTTCGAATCCTCACAGTATTTATTATTGTTGAAGTTATCGTTAACATTTTTTGTCAAGATTTACAAACTCTACGTTTCGTTCAATTTCGAAAACTAATCGATGAAATTTGAATAAACTGATTTGCTTGGAAAAATACTTTGACAAAATCCTTATTTCGCGGTTTAATAATTTCTTTCATTTAATTTGATTTAATTTTATAATTTCTGTTTTTCTTTTTAATAGCGAAGAATAATTCTCAGGATTTCTTACTCTTGTGCATGCAACATATAACTGGCCATGCGTAAATATTTCTTTCTAGAACCAAATTCCAACTTTCTGAAGCGTTTGGTATTGTGATTTCTTTTTAGTTTTCGCAAATGCATGACGAACTGGATACTATATTCTTGTATATATAAAAACTTAAGAAAAAATACGCTAAAAACAATATTGTATTTTTATCAAATAAGTATTTCTTATTTTAGTCATTAAATAGTTTTTAAAATAGTGTGTATTTTGTATGTTAAATAATAAAACTTAATTTTTCCAAAAAAAATTAATGACAGTTTATTGTACTAAGCTACGCACTCCTTATAAAACCAGCTGTACTTTGTACTCACTTAACTGTTTGCATTTCTCCACAAAATTTGGTCTCGATCTGTCAATGGCTATTTTAGCAGGTGTGAAGACGGTTGGACGGAAGTCGCAGAATTTTATATGTGGATAGATGGTGTAAAACGAAAAAT